AAGGAAGGAAGGAAGGAAGGAAGGAAGGAAGGAAGGAAGGAAGGAAGAAAAGAGAAACTGAACCTTGAACCATTTTTTTCCTGCCCTGGCAATGAATAGTAGAGAGATGAATGCTAATTTCTCTAAAGCATGAGGAATTATTAATGCATTCCCTGGCTAGTATTCTAGCATTCACAGTATCTGTCAGTGGTAGTGTACCTACCACAAGATATTAGGTTCAATTCTCAGTAGTAAAAACAAAAGAAAACTTATTTAAAAACAGATTTAGTCACTTGTATTTTAAGCAGACATACACATACTTACATGTAGGTGTGAGTGTGTGTGTAAAAGTGGGTAGGAAATGGGCTATTTTCTCATATCTGTTAAAAACTAGACTATCAGCCGGGCAGTGGTGGCGCACGCCTTTAATCCCAGCACTTGGGAGGCAGAGGCAGGTGGATTTCTGAGTTCGAGGCCAGCCTGGTCTACAGAGTGAGTTCCAGGACAGCCAGGACTACACAGAGAGACCCTGTCTCGAAAAACCAAAAAAAAAAAAAAAAAAAAAAACTAGACTATCTATGGCAGGAGTTTAGAAGCAAACTGCGTTCCCTCCATTATAAACGGTGCCAGTGAGTCTGGGATGTGCTTGCTAGCAAGATGTGAGTGAACATCGCTGCTTCCTGCTTTCACAACTGAGCCTGCCGCTGCCAATTACATTTTACTGGACTGTCAAGTGGCTCAAACTTGACCTCTGTCTTCCCTGGCATGAACCACTAGTCTCTTGTCTGCTTGGAAAACCTCTGACAATAAAAAACACACCTGAGGCTTTTGTGTTGTGGATTGTAGGGAAAGCACAAAGTCTGTTAAATTGGAACTCAAATTAACTAGGAAATGATTAAAGATTTATCTTTAATTTGAGAAAATGACAATCTCCATTTGCAGGATTTGGGTGGGCTTTTTTTTTTTTAAAAAAAATGTTGGCACACATTTATTTTATTACAAAGTATTTTATTTTAGGATTTTATTATTTTATTACAGTAAGGTCTGTACAAAGCAGTGTTCACAACCTTTACAAAGCAGATGAGTTGGCCAAGGAACTAGAGGGTGGGGAAGCAGAGAGGCACCTGTCAGAGCTTACCTGCTCCCTGCAGTCATTGAAGACCAAGTGGGCTTCTGCCGCTCAGCGTAAGGTTCCACAGCCATGTGTCTGCGTCACTTCCGCAAGTTAGCAAAAACTAAACCTACTGTCCACACACCCCATTTTTATGCCCAAAGATTGTCAAAAGACATTCCCAAGGACTGACACCTGGGAAATTGTGAATGGATCTAAAGTCTGCTCATCCCAGCCACAGAAGGTGAGGTGCCAATACCCCGTTGTCTACAGCTGCTACACTAAGCCACCCACTTTACAATTCGTGACTTGAACTTATGAACCGTCTTTAAATGGCTTAGAACCAAGTGTGGCTTGATTACACCAACATGTCAGAAGTTGTCTCATTACGTTGTCTACCATGGAGGATTTTCACTTTCGTGTATGGAACTGTAAAGATGCATTGGGGTCCTTTGGGAAAACAGCAAGCTCCTCAGTTCATACATTCATGTTACTCCGGAAGGCTGTGTTGGAGGTCTTGTGACAATTACTAGCCACCTTTGTTGACTTAAAAAAAAACTTACGGGGCTGGAGAGATGGCTCAGCGGTTAAGAGCACTGACTGCTCTTCCAGAGGTCCTGAGTTCAAATCCCAGCAACCACATGGTGGCTCACAACCATCCGTAATGAGATTCGATGCCCTCTTCTGGTGTGTCTGAAGACAGCTACAGTGTACTCATAAATAAAATAAATAAATAAATCTTTAAAAAAAAAAAACTTACATGTATGACCATTTTGCCCGCATGTATGTATGAGCACTGCATGCATGTCATAGCTGCAAGGCCAGAGAGAGGGTTGGATGTCCTGGAACTGAAGTTACAGATGGTTGTGAGCTGACATGCAGGTGCCAGAAACCAAATTCAAGTCCTCGGCAAGAGAAACAAGCATTCTTAACCACTGAGCCCCTGGGAGCCTGTTAACAGAAAGATGACTGTGCATCATGCTGCCGTTCTAGAGCATGGGTTATCTGAGGTGAATGTTGGATTCTGGTACAGCTTACTTCACACTTCATCTCTACTGTTCCCACACAGAGCAGAGACCAAAAGGAGCCCAGGGAAAGGATCATTAACTAGAAAGTGCTACAGAGTAAAAAGATCTGCTGCAGGACAAGGTCATATCCGAGCAACTGTAAACAGTGGGTTTTCCCCTTGGAATGAAGCATGAAGAACAAACTAAGTCAGTGTGGCAGACCTGGGTTTTCTTTTCTAGCTTTTATCTACTAGTTGTAAATTAACTACTAGCTATGAATTTGAGTATGTGTGTGTCCATATGTAGGTGTGCGGAGACCAGAGCAACTCCAAGGCTGGTCCTCAGTCACTGTCCACCTTGACTTTTGCCAAGAGTGTCTTTCTCATTAACCTGGAGCTCACAAATTTGGCTCTTTCTGGCTGTCACCTCTCTAGTGCTGCCGTTACAGGTTCAGGCCACTAGGCCTTGTTTGTCTTTGTTGTTTTGTTTGCTTTATTTTTTTTTTCTGGTATGTCTGACAATTCAAACTCATGCTTACATGGCAAACATTTTACCAACGGAGCCATCTCCCCAGCTCCTAATTTTTTTTTCTATGAGAAATGTTCTCATGTGAACGCATAAGCTGGCTGCTGAGTGTTGGACAGACAGACCTAGCAGTGCCTTGTTACATACCAGCTAGTCCACCAGAGAGCTAAAGCCACATAAAGGACTGCATTGAGTTCATTTTGCCTATGAGGAGAAGACTACTTCCATGGCTTGTGTGAAGGAGACTGGGAAAAGAAAGACTGTTGAAATGGTACATATTGTTTAGAATTAATAGAAAACAGTCAACAGTTAAAGACTTTCTCATATGGAAGACTGTACCTTTGCCCGTCACACAGCAGGTCTATAAGCAGATATGATTGTTTCTAGCACTGGGGCTCAAACCCAGGGCCTTGTGCATGCAAGGCAGGTATTCTACACCCCAGCTATGTTTTTTTGGCTTTTTAAACAAGATCTGTATATAGCCCAAGCTGCCTTTGAACCTGATCCTCCTGCCTCCGCCTCCCAAGGGCTTGGATCACGAGTCTGCACCACCATGCCTGGCCATGGTCAAGTCTTCATCTGGAGCATCTTGGGATTGGAGAGCTGGAGCCGCCTCTTCAGCTCTATCTGTTCCTTCCCTGGCTCTTTGCCACACTGTACGGTGTAGACCTGTGCCAACCCACAGAATGTGTTCTACCTACTTAAGCACTTACCACTGTGCTGTACTGTTCACACTGAAAGGACAGATGTTGTGTTAGCCTAACCAAGCCAACAATCAGGGCACCTCCCAGCAAAGTCAGGAAAGGCCAAAATAAGCAGTGAAAGACAACCTTGTGGCCAGACTTCCTGAGGACAACTCCCAGGGGGCCATCGGGACTGTAGAAGCAGGGGAAAGTTCCATTGTTGTGATCGAAGAATTCCTTGATGTCCAGGGTGCTGTTGAGCAGATCATCCCTGTCCCCGTGACACTTGGGTGTGTAAAAGCACTAGGAGTTTGGAGGAGAGAAAAACTCTGTTAACAGTGGCCAGCATTAAAGCTCCAGGCTAATCCTGCAGTGGGGAGGCAGGATAGAGATGTGCTCACTTTGTAGTGTGGGGGAAAGGAAGAGTCGGCAGGAGCACACAGAATGGAAGTGACCTTGCTTCTGGGCTACCATGTGAGAGCCCAGGGAGATGGCTCAGCAGGTGAAGGTGCTTGTTGCCAAGCTGCACCACCTCAGCTCTAGCCCCAGGATCATGTGGAAGAGAACTAATGCCTGTGAGTTATCCTCTGATCTCCACACACCATGGCAGGCATGCTCACATACACACTATGACGTACCATGGCATACATACCTACACACACAGACACACCATGATGTGTGTGACTACAAACATATTTTCTAATGTATGATGAAATGGTCGCATCCAAAATTGAAAACCAGAAGCCATTAGATTAAGTATTTAATGACGGACAACACTAAGTTAGAGCATGCCATCTAATGAAACCTGTAATTAAGTTTATGAACTATAAATCACATGTACTAGTGGTGTAAGTAAATTTAAATTATAAAAGTTCTTTAAATTACTTAAGAATTACCAGTGTGGCTGAATAAAGACTGAATTCATTCTAACCAAGGCTACAGTATGGAGACATTGCCTGCTTAGGACTTCACACCAGGTGAGGAAACTGGAATGTGCCTCTCCTTTCTGCATGCCCCATGTCTTCTCCAAGACTGCTGTCAGCATCATCTATCCTGACGGTAATACTGTGGAACATATTCAGAGGCAGTTGAGGCTTTGCATATACAAATCCCTCAACTCATAACAAAGTATGGTAATCCCAGCACTTGGGAGGTAGAGAGGGATGATTCCAAAGCTCGAGGCCATCCTTGGCTACATAGTATGTTTGAAAACATCCAGGATTACATGACACCTTCCAAAAACAAGTGTTCACTGGAAGGAAACTGACTTTTCACAAATGGCGTGTACCCTACTCTACTCAGGACACCACTATGGATGGGGTAGCAGAGAACTTTTAATTGTCAAAGTCACTTTACCTTGGGGTTGGTCCTGATGGCCTCCTCATCATAGTGGAGAAGCACTTTCTGTCCTGAGTGGCTAAGGTTTACGAACACCTGCAGGCAGGGGTATCTCCCCTGGTCCTGGCAGCTACCCTCACAGGTGAAGGCAAAGTCCAGCCCATCATCCGCAATGTGTGTGTGGACAGTGGTACAGTTCGATTCTTCTCTGGGAGAGCTTTGAAATTAAAAAAAGAAAAATGTTTTTCCCAAGTGAGGTACTGAAGGCAGCTACTGGAAAATCAGTTTCTGCATTCGGAGGCATGCTAAGCCACTAGCCTGTCACATATGTTAGCACAAACATCATATTCTGGTCAGGGAAAGTGAGGGACACAGATGGGAAGAGAGCCAGGTGGCGACTGCCTCAGTTCTGATCCAAGGGGTGTATTTCCTCTCTGCCAGCCCTGATACAATGCTATCAGAACCCAGAGTTATGTGTTAGCATCAAGACTGGCTAGTGTGGATTCCAGGTGTTCCAGAGATTCTAGCTCAGGAGGTCTGAGCTGAGGCCTGAGAATCTCTTAAACTAATCGGAGTTAAGAGGCACGTATTAGGAGAAATGAACTGAGTATCATTACCCTAAATACTGAGCCCCCAAGAGGCACATTGGAAAACCCACCCTCTCTCATGTGGTCACGTTTAGATGTATCTTCCAGCTTCCTGGTGAAAGTGGACCTTTGGAAGGAGAACTTGGTTGGTAGTGCTGTTTAGGAGAGATTTCATGGTGTGGCCTTGCTGGAAGAAGTATCTCACTGAAGTGAGCTCTGAGAATTTAAGAATCAAAACTTCCAGTCTGATCTCTGCTCTGTGCTTGCAGCTGAGGATGTGATCTCTCAGTCTGGTCCTGCCACAACACCTAACTACCGCCGTGCCTCCCTGCTATGGCAGCTTTTATCCTTGTGGAACCATAAGCCAAAATAGATTTTCCACACATTGCCTTTGGTCATGGTGTTTGATCATAGCAATAGGAAAGTAACTACAGTACCCAAGCTATTATCTGTACATGACGCAGGGCAAGCTCTTCAAGTCCACCGTGATAGTGTTTCTAGCACATGCCATCTGGCTGTACTCTCTGGAGCCTAGAGATGAACAGGAGGATATAGCTTGGCACCTCGAGGAATTCACAGACAAAATCATGCCTCATCTCCATGTGGAGATCTCAACATGCCTTGTCTCTGACGCGGGAAGCATGGTGGGATGTTGAATCAGAGAAACAGAAAGAAAACCAGAACATATATTATGGACACCTTGGAAACGGGCACCAGACATGTTTGTAGGGAAGTTTCTAGACTGGATTGAGAGGGGAAACACACGCTGAGTGGTGCCATTCCATGGGGTGGGATCCTGGACTGAATAAAAAGAGAAAGATGTCGAATCAAATCCAGCCCATGCAGCACAGCACCAGGGGAGGGAGACAGGAACCTGCTGACCACCATGCCACCCACAGACCTGCACCCTCCAGCTCGATGGCCATAGCCAGCCAGCAGCAGGAGCCATCACACTATGTGAATATGTGGTGGTTAAATGAGGGAAGAGTTGAGCAGTTTGGGCATTAAGAAGATGGATGGGGCTGGAGACTTGAGGGAAGAGAGTAGCCAGCTGTTGTGAGTGGCCAGCCCAGCACCTAGGGCCGTGGTGAGGGCCCAGCCTAAGCTGTCACTGAGGATGACATGTCTTGAGTCTGTGGCTACACAGAGGCAACACAGTGGAGCTTGTCCTGGCAGCTGGAGTTGCGAGTGAGCCAGCGCCTAGGAAGTGAATGTGGGAGAGCTGACCCTGCCACTCATCTGCCACAGAATAGCATGGATGCAGAGGCAATCCCCCACCCCCTGTCACTTCCTTCTTGCCACTTCCAGCAGTCAAGAAAGCTGTCCACAGGGTCATGAGCCAAAGAGCTTCTGGGTAGCACAGCAGAGTTGGCTCTGGTGGAGGGGGCACAGGTGAGCCGACCCTGAGGGCAGGTGTGCAGGAGAATTACCCCCTCTACTTGTCTGCTGTGAGATGGTGTTGGTGCAGGGTTGATGTCCTCCCCCTGCCACCCTTGCTATCTGCAGTGACCAGGAGAGCTGACCCTGGGTTCATGAGAGAGCAGGACAGCTAGTCCTGTCCCCTCACTGGCTGTTGTAGCACTTGGGAGGCAGGGCCTTGCACCTCACCTGGGCAATATGGTGGGTGGAACTTGCCCTGGTGGCAAAGGTATGGGTGAGCCAGCCCAGAGGGTATGAGAGCCGGAGAGCTGGCCCTGCCCCTCACAGGCTGCAGCACTTGGGAGAGTGGGACCCCAAACCTTGACTGGGCAGCACAATGGAAATGGTTCTGGAGGTGGATGTGGATGAGACAACCCTGTAGGCAGGAGAGCAGGAGAGCTGACCCTGCCACCTGCCAATGACACCACTTGGTGGCCTAGCCAGAGTGGTTCTGGAGAGCTTACCCTGGTGGAGTGGATAAGGTAGAGCTGGTGGGCCAATCAGCTTAGCTACCACCCAAGCCTACTCCAAAATCTGTATCATCTGTAAACTGTTGAGATTTGTGAAATGACAGGTCCTGCTGATCCAAACCTGCAGGATCTCCATGACACAGGGTGACAACAGGAAAACCAGGAGTCCTAATGATCCAGTATTGATGATGTCATAGAAGCCAGAGATCTCAAACTAAACCAATGACTCATTGCCATTGGTGAAGATGTGTAGACAGAGGGATATACTGTGGGACACACTGTGGCACACTACAGCTTCTATCATGAGATGTCTATGCTTTGAGAGTGTGAGTGTGTGTGTGTGTGTGTGTGTGTGTGTGTGTGTGTGTGTTATTTCGAGTATAGGTTGCAAGGATGAAGGTTGGATATGAGGAGGTTTGGAGACGAGTGGGATTGAGGTGCATAATGTGAAATTCAGAAAGAATCAATTAAAAGTTTAAAAAATAAAAAAGTTTTAAAAGGAGAAGGACAAACCATCTACTGGAGCATGGATAGCCTCTCAGGGGTGGAATCCCTAAAGAAACTGACTCCAGTAGTTCCTCTGATGAAGGTGAAACTTCTCACTGCTGCCCTGTTAGTGCTGGGATTTTGCTGGCTTGATTTTCCACAATTCTCTGTCCCCCTGACTGTAAGATGAGATGAGGAGTGGAGAGAAAGGTTGTGTCACCCTAGAAACCATATCTGTTCCCTGAGATTGTGGAGAAATGAACACTGGATGCTCAATCAATGTCCTCACCATTCTCATTAAGCAATTTCCAGAAATATGTAGAAACTTAGAGAGAGAGAAAGAGAGAGGGAGGGAAGGAGGGAGAGAAAGAGAGAGAGAGGAGAGAGAGAGAGAGAGAGAGAGAGAGAGAGAGAGAGAGAGAGAGAGAGAGAGAGAGAGAG